TCTGCAAACTTACTGAGGGTGCACTCAATCCCCTCATCCAGATCATCGATAAAGATATTGAACAAGACCGGCCCCAAAACTGAGCCCTGGAGAACACCGCTCGTGACCGGCCACCAACTGGATTGAACTCCATTCACCACAACTCTCTGGGCCCGGCCGTCCAGCCAGTTTTTGACCCAGCGCAGAGTACCCCTGTCTAAGCCGTGAGCCGCCAGCTTCTCTAGGAGAATGCTGTGGGAGACGGTGTCAGAACATAGAAACTGCTCAAGTCAAACTCGTAAGCTTGTGCACCAAGACCCGCATGGTGAGAGTTTCCAGAAAAATCTCCCTGTAAATTCTGTGTTCGGCGGTGCTTTCTGTTTGCTGTACATCGGCTGACAAGAGCAGCCGCTCTCCCTGCTGTTGATAATGACTTGTGCTGTGATGCTTCTACCTTAGGGACTTACTTGGTATTAATCTTCTGTACATGCTCTATGCCTGCCTATCCTACCTATGTTGTATAAGCACTGCTGTCTATATACAGTAATCTACAGAGCCTGGGGGACTTTCAAGACTCATTAGGGAGAACTAATCTACTCAGCTGGGAAGGACTGATCTGTGCTTTGTCTTGAAACCAGCAGGAGTCTTTCCATTGATTTAACAGGGCTTGGTTCAGACTTCCACCTTTTCTCCTACATGTGAGCGAGTTGTTATTGATATGACTTAAACTTTTAAGGTACAGCCTTGTGTATGAAAACTTTCAGGGATGAAATTATTTTTTCTAGTCTAGGGGCAGCTTTTTGCTACCAGAAACGAATCAATTGCCTGAGTAACTAAGCAATGTTTTTCAAATAAACGCTCAAATTCTACAAACTGTGTAAACAGAAGCTCTACAGTTTGCATGGGAAAAGACTCTAACGTATGACTGCTAGGCTGCTTGTTTGTTTGCTACCTGTCCCAGAGTCTGCTGGGTACTTCTGATCCAGCTCTGAGTGTTATTGTGTAAATGCGTAAGCAGAACGCCTTTTCCCCACTCTTCACGCCTCCCTATTCACAGCGCCATGCAGTGCCTGTTTGCTGCAGGAAGTGAGGAGGCTTGAGCAAAGACGTTTCTCAACAGCAGAATGAATGAATAAGCTTTTCATGAAAATTGATTTGAAACTAACTGAATGAGAAGGAAATTAAAACTGGGGAAACCAAGCAAAGTGATAGGATGGAGCTGGAAGTCATCTGGCCCCGTTCAGCTGAGCGGACCGTGGCAACGGCAGCCCGTCCCAGATTGGCTGGTGAGCCCTGTCAGGCTGCTCCCTGCCAGGAGCTGCAGAGTTGTTAGTTCATCCTCTGCTTGTTGGGCAGCTCTTCCCCATCCAGTTTCTCTCCCTGCTCATTTTGGCTTGGGCCTGGAAATTCTTGCTCCTTTTGCCACTCTGCCACACCAGCCTCAGCTGTGGTGTTGGTTGTTACTGCGCTTTCAGCACTTGGGGCAGTCAGATGTGTGCAGCTTGCTGGAGACTTGGGGATTCAACAGGTGGCTGGCAGAGGTTTCCTCTCCAGCACAAGCCTGGCAGACGCGCCTGCTGGGCCTGCCTAGTCCTGTCTGGCCTGATTCAAACAACAGGCTCTACAGCGTGATTGAAATGACCACAAAACAGCACTCCACCAGCAGGCAAAGCCCGTCGCAGGGGAATGTTTCTCCAGCAGTGTTAGGTCAGGAGTCCTGCTATTGTAGGTAGCAATCCTTTGCCACACAAATGTAGGAGAGAAAAACATCAAAGAAGTTTCTCTTTCTCTACTGCTGTTTTTTTTCCTCAGCAAACTGCTTTTGAACTGTAGAAAATTATTTCAGAAAGCTGAATAGATCCTGCTTAGTATCTCGGAAAACATCGAAATGGGGAATTTTTCCAATAAGCTCCCTTTCTCACAGAGGATCCTCCAACTTGCTCAGAGCACTGCATGCGAGGGACCTTAACAGAAGAGAACCCACATAAGCAAAATGTGAACTCCGTATGTAGCTTTCCGTTAGAGAGCTTGGCATGAGACAGTCTTTCACCTGCAGAAAGCAGCACTTGACTGTCTGATTTCCCATTGACTCTTTAGGTGTATTTCATAATGAAATCCTTGGCTCCTAGAAAGGATGTGGAAAAAATTACCCTGCTTGAAGCGTAACATTGGGGAAGAAAATTCGGTTCTCAAGTGAAAAGCAAGAAGCTCACGCGTTATTCCTTGTGGGCAAGTGAAGGTTTTGATGCACACCTTTGTGTGCTGGCTCTAAGAAGTTAACTGAAGCCAGGTCCCATGGGTGCAATCCCCCAGGACGTTCTGTCTTTGTGGAAGTCATGGGTCTTCTCCTGAAAAAGTCCCTTCTAGTCCCTAAAAACATGTCTAAACATTCACCTGCCTCATACAGTCTTGTGAGCAGGACAGGTTTTGATAGCCATAGCAGAGCACACTGTGGTTTGCTCATTGCCAGAAGTCACTGGCTTTTGTTGCTGGCATTTGAGTAAACCAGGCGTCTGGTTCCAGGAGAGAAAATGCCAGCAGAATCTGGCCCTCCATACAGTGAGAAGCAATACTTTGAGCAGCTGATATTTTTCCTGCATTTCTAATTTAAATAATACATTTACAGCTAGTGTGCCCCGTCCCAAATTCTGTTTGTATTTTCCTTTAAATGTTAACCTTCGCAGTGCTAGTGTCTCGCAGCAGCTGACAGTATACATGTGGTCTGACAGGGACTGAATTAAACCAGCCAAACTGTAATTTCTAAAGATAAAGATCAGAGTAGGTGGTGTCATTTCATACTATCTTTGTTTCCCTAATCACTTTTGGCTGAGTAATCTTCTGGGGGGGGGAAGCTTTCGCTTCTAGAAAGGCTCCGTGTGAAATGACAATCAGGGCTGTCTGCTAAGTTCAGAGGACAAGATTCACATCCCTAGGGCCTGATGCTGCCTGCTCTGCAGGAGCCAAGAATTTCACTGACTGGGATGGACTGACCTCCTGCCTGGAAAGCTGACAGCTCATGCAGATTGGGACAGGGAAGCTACTAGCTCACCAGACAGCCACAAAGCAGCCTTTGGATTAAATGTTAAATAAATAAAACTTGGGTTTCTGTCATTTTTAGTGACAGAAAGTTGGTTTTAAAATAAAATCTACTACAGCAATGCTATCAATACCTCAGTAAGAGTAGCCAGTTGAGAGGTATTCACCTCAAACCTGCTCTAGAAGGAATAACTTCTTCAGATAATTGAGATATAAATCAAATGACCCCAGTAAAGCCTAGGCATAAGCTGCACTGAGAAAAGTAGAATTGATGTTTTGCAAGCGCCACAGAAACTACATTGAAAACCAGCACTATTTGGATAGCCACTGGGTAACTTGCTCTTTAGCCCGACCATGTCACAGCAAATTCACTAGCATGAGGAAAGCATTTGTTTCATCGCTGAGTAGTTTCCACGGCAGTGGGAAATGGCTTCCTGAGCAACATGCAGTTACAGACTCGACGTGGGGTCTCTGCAGTTCTCAAGCACTTTGCCATGATTAATTCCAGTGGAACCGGGTCTTAACAGGCACTTGTGTCAGGAATTTGAACAAGAGCAGCACCTCTCCACAGGAATTACTCAGCATCTCACAAAACACAGGTCTATTATTTTTATGCCAAGAAATAGCTCCCAGACTTGAAGTCTTGCTCAGATTTTTTTTTTTTGTAAATTAAAAAAAACCCTTAGCTCTTCACTACCGTAATTGCAGGTATTGGGCCCCTGCAATTCGATCCACAGTCTATCTTTGTAGCTATGGATCCTTTACAACAGAGGGGTAGAGCTTGACTTTAGAGATCCTCAAAATTTAGCATGCTGACCAGGAAAATGCCTCACCTAAGCCTTGCAAAGTCCTGTGAGTAGGAAGGGGTGTGAATCCCAACCAGCTCAACGACTTGGGCATTTTGTTTTGCTCTCTCTCCAGTTAGAACTGTGCCAAGGAAAGGCAACCACAGTTTCCTTGGCCTCAAAACTGAATAGGGGTGACTGCTAAAGAAAGCAGTATCAGGAAGAGGATTTTCTGCCCTCCTTCCTAGTTTATATTGCAAGAGTTCAGTTCTCCCAGAGGAAGGCCCTGTTTCCATTCCCTCCTCTGCCTGAGATGACCGAACTCTTCCTGCTGTAGGGACTTAAAGCCACATTCCCTATTTTCCTGGGATACTTTTGTCTTATCGATCTTTGTGAAAACTGGAGCCTTCAAAGGTTCTCCAACTGACCACCTTAACGGAAAATAAAACAATGTAATTTTTTTTTTAATAGTAGCAGATATTGGAGAAATTGATATATTTCTTACATTTATAGGGAATGTATGTGTATTTCATGCATAGTTTGTATCATGCCGATAAAAAGGACAGATCTTATAGAATCAGCCTTGTCCGTGATGGGGGATATATTGGCAAATATTTACTTTGCATGGGAAACTGCAAGCTCTACTCTGTTCCACAGCAGTAGGAAGTCTTGTATAACTGCTGGCATTCTTGAGAGGAGATTCCAAAACAACTTAGCATCCTGCCCAACAACATAATGGGCACGTGGATGGAGGCTTGTTAGGGCATGCTCCATGCACTGAACAACTGGTGAAATGTCCTTGTTAAGACAGATCTTGGACAGCTTTTGTTTCTTTGCTGCATCTGTAAAGCTCAAAAAAAGAAGATCGTTTAGTGACAGCCAGGCAAGGTGACTTTTAACTCTTCCCCCGCCACTGAACTGTGCAATTTCACTAAGGAATTGGTATTTCTCGTTTCTCCCTACACAAGAATTGGTAGCAGTTTCTGAGGACCAAGTCCCCATCCATAATGACCGTGTGATATAGTTGACCCCAAGAACAGTCTAGTTACCCTTAATTGTGGAACAGTTATTGCAAAACTGGGCCTGCATGGTCTGAGGACAAGCAATCAGCATTGACAGTAGCTCAGAATAAACATAACTATATAAGAGGCAAGGGGAAACAGAAATGCTGTAGTTGTAAATGAGTCTCTTACAGTAAGGAAATAGCTTTGTGGAAAGTTGTGAAACACAATTGTAAAAAAGAAATCTGGGGGACAAGAAAGTCCAAGGATCAAAAGACAAGCAGCCCCTGTTCAAGCAGGCTTAGCAAGTGTCTGTCAGACAGGTCCTGAATGGCTTCATCGCCCCTGGGGCTAGCAGAAGCAAGGGGAATTGATCCCTATTTGATTACTAAATAAACAAACAGTAATGACAGAAAAACACATCGAGCACATTGATTACATCATCAGATAAAAGTTTTTCTGTTTGGGAGTTTGCTCAAAAGCTTCATGCCAACATGAATAATTAATCTTTAACTGAGATTTGAATAAAGCTTCCCAGAACAAGTCTTTTGTGCGGACAGTCGTATTGTGATGCAAATGCATTTAAGAGTAACTTTTCACATCACAGTCTTTCCAAAAAGTCAGAATGATTAGAAGATATAATGCTACTTTGCAAGGCTTTGTCAGC